GATGGCCAGTTTACTGGTGTGAGAAATGAAGCAAAAAGATGTGAAATATAAATAGGAAGGAGGGGCAACTATAACTTATAACTACAAATGATTGTTAATCACATTAACCACTTGACTTTTAAGATTCATTTATTTGTTTTTATTGGAAAGGCTGATTTAGAAAGAAAAGAACAGAAAGAAAGATCTCCTACCTGCTGGCTCACTGCCAAAATCGCTACAATGACCAGAGACAAGCCAATCCAAAGCCAGAAGCCAGGAGTTTCTTCCAGGTCTCCCATGCAGATGCAGGTCCCATGTTTTTGAAAAACTCAAAACTATGAGTTGGCCAACCTATAGTATGTTGCAATCTCTTTTAATTTTCCCCAACATCAAACTTGTTAACAATTATAAGAGAGAATCAAGACTATTTTTAATCTTTTCATAAATTGATGACAATTGAAAAATACTATACTCTGCTCTGGAGCATAGAAGCTGAACCTTATGAACTGAAAAAGGCAAAGAAGTTGAACATGGCTGAGGAATAGAATGCACACAAAGTAGGATGGAGCACTGGGAGACAACTCTGGGAATGAAGAGGCAGGGCATGAAAGTCTCACGACATTAGTAAAGTTCAACATTCCTTGAGAACCCTTAGGAAGACACTGAAAGTAGAAATGAGTGGCAAGGGCAGATATACATCTATGAAGTTTGAGAACCGATACAAAATAAGGTTACAAGCTAAGAAGACACTGTGGCTGTGCAAGTCCAAGGTAAATGCAGCTGAGACTAAACAGGACATTGGAAAGCAAGACTCAGAGGAATTTTCTTCAGATATAATATGTACGTGGAGGAATATTAATGTGGGAAATTACGTAATAAGGTGAGTTGGTAACTGCCCCATATCTCTGACTTGGAAAGTATTTTATCTCAGTGGGATCAACTAAACCCACAGGCAAACTTACAGGTCTATGAGAAAGACCACAGGTTCCATTTTGCTAAGTTGAATTTGAGATGGTTATTAAATACAATATGGGAATACTGACAATATTGATGCTCAATGGAACTGCAGTACAACCTATTAATGCAAGGCACAGACATCACCATAGATTTTATAGTAGCTGCACTAAAGGAAAGTTTTAAAAAGATGAAATTAATTTGAATAACAGATTAACTCCTAATAAATTCAAAATACCATTCAATATAACAACTTAAACAAATTAATGAGATATTTTATATTATATTTCATACTACCTTTGAAATATGGCTCACCATTTACCTGTAATAGCACATCTAATTTTGGACTAACCATATTGAACTACATATACTGAGTAGCTATAACTTTCTCACAGCTATAACAGTAGACACTGCAGATTCTAAGGCTAGGTGAATAAATGGGTTTGTAGAACCATAATGTAGGCTGGAAGGGAAAGTTAGGGATCAACAATGAATGCTCATTGAAGCTATGAAGATAATGTAGGAAGCATTTATGGCTTGAGGACAAAGGGAGTTCCTTACAGAATCCTAAGGAACACCAGGGTTCAAGAGAAGAGATTACAAGAAGACCTAAAAGGAACACAAAATAATCCATTGACTATATTATCTTTGTTCTGGGTAATAATCTCTGTAAGGAAGAAATCGCTTTTCGAAATTTGGGGATTCATATATGCAAAAATTGTAAAGAGCATATCATCATTCTGAGACCCTTAAGTTCAAAAAGAAACAGATTGGTGATTAAGGTTCCCAAAATGAGATCTTGGTTTGCACTGGTATGGTTACCACCACCGTGGCCTTACAGGAAGAAGACTGGAGTTCATGGAAGAAGATTGGTAGAAACAAGTTAGAAAAAAGTACCCTCTCCAGTCAACTGTAGGTCCTACAGAAAGCTTGAATTTTCAAACTAGTTAGAGAATAGCATAAAAAGCATTTGTGCCAATCAAATATATCATTAAATAAAACATAAACTAGACTGCCATACAGAACACAGTTTTCATTTACCCAAATACTAAATCATATGGCCACTTCCAATATTCATATGTTCTGTCAACCAGCTGCAGGCATTGAGTATAGGAATGAATAAAAGTTAAAACAGCATAAAACCAGACACCGATGAAGCCTAAACAAACAACAGAAGAACAGAAGATTACCAACATCATAAAAGAAGTTTTAGGAAAATACAGCAGATAGGAGCTGGCCAGGGAGGAATTGACACTTGAAGCACCTGGTTTTATCAAAGGCCCACAGGGAATACCACTGTACGGCTTCCCTGCTGTCTTGGGATCTTTATTGAGGCAAAGAGTAGGAGCGGAAAGTGAAGACAGCAGGATGGTTGTGCCATATCGTATCTCCATCAACAAAGCAACCCCAAAAGATCATGACTAAGAGAGCTGTGTAAATCAACTCTTTGGGCCCTTGCCCCAGGGTAAATAGCACAACAAATTAATCCTTTCTCCATGAATTGCAGCAAAGTTTGTATCAACCCTGAATTCAAATTGCTCATTAGCTCTGACATGTTCCTAATGAGGTTATAATGCTCTGGGACAAAGATCAAGCCACTGAACACAAATAGCTAGGGATAGAATCATAGAAAGATAAAATTAGAAGGACTTTAAAAGTAGTGTTTCCCTAAATCAGATAGTCTGAGTCACATGATTACTTTGATTCAGGACAACTGGCATCTAATCTAAGCTTCTTCCTAACATTCTCCCTGAAAATGTTGATGTTGCTTTTTAATAAAGTATACTGAGTAGCAAGAACATATAGATCATCTCACCCAACCCTCTTTCCTGTAGGTAATGACACTGTGGCCTTAGCTGCAGACAGAAACTTACTTAGAAACCAACACAAGACAATTTGCTAATGGTCCATAATATTAAATAAATGTGAAGATTTTAAATACAAGTAGGATGTCCAGTCATCTGGACCTTTGAAGAACTGAAGATATTTCCAAGGCATGGGATTCTCCCTTTTAAAATCAAGAAAATTCCATACTCTGGTTTCTCTTCAGAGCATATTAATCTTTTGCCTTTTATAAAAGATTTTTCTGGAGTGGAACAATTCAGACTCTTTACCCAATTTCTGAGGCCTTGTTTCAGCAAGGCTACTTATTGTCGTTCAAAGAAAGGATTTTACTGTGATTGTTAGTCAGCAGGCATACAGTTATTCATGGAAATATTTGAGTTAGTGGGGAAAGAAGATCCATCTTTCCCTCGCAGTGCCGTTTAACCTTTATTAAAAAGAAAAACACAAAATATAGTAAGAATTTTTCATTCTAGCAGAAGCCTTTTGAATCTACTTAGAATATGGCATTAGGATCATCTTCTCAACCTAGTCAGTCCTAATCAAACCTAGTGGTGAGATAATGACTTACTGCCAAGTTGAGCACACATTCTAAAGCTGTTTGAAGGGTGATGCCCAACCAAGAAGGCGGCTCAGAAAGAGTCTTCCAATACCACAATGACAAGTACTTAACAAGTGACAGCTTAAGTAGATCTCAAAGTAAAGCATAACAAGAATATCGAGCACATGAAGGCCCAGTGGCTAAATCCTCACCTTGCACATGCCTGGATCCCATATGGGTGCCAGTTTGCATCCTGGCTGCTCTGCTTCCCATTCAGCTCCCTGCTTACAGCTTGGACAAGCAGTAGAGGATGGCCCAAAGCTACTGCATTCAAATAGGAAACCCAGAAGTCCCTGGCTCCTGGCTTCAGATAGGTTCACTCTGGCCATTGTGGCCATTTGGGAAATGAACCAGCAAGTAGAACACCTTTCTTTCCTTATTTCCTCTCTCTTTCAATCTGCCTTTCAATAAAGATAAACACATCATAAAAATAACATAAGACAAAAATACATATTATGTAAGAATTTACCGCCACTTTTAACTACACGATCTTAATACAAAAAAGGCCTACAGGAAATAAATCACTAATTTCTGTGAATCTTAAAACATTCATTAAAAACATTTTGGTAAAATAGCTACAATAAGTAGGATACATTCTTAAGAATGGAGGGGAAAAGACATACCCCACATAATCAAAATTAGAAATGAAAATATATCTTGCATAAGTCACTGAAATTGGGTCCATTAACAACAAAACAGTCTGGAAAGCAAAAAAGGAAAAAAAAACCTCTCAGACATTCAATGATGGCAAAATATTTCTAAGGCTACCAAAATAGAAGTCAAGATAGTGATTCCATATGCACTTAAAGTGCAGAATTGGTACAATCCAGAGAAAAACGACTCTTACTCTTTGTGTTTGTTTGCTTAAATAAGATGGCAAAGTTGTCTGAATTACTCAGCTTAATATTCACTGAGTTAGGACACTTAAACAAAAGAGGGGAATACTATGTCTAAATACATGCAATGAATTTGAAACAGGTAGAAGAACCCTAGACATTCAGAAATCATTACCTGGAAATTAAAGAGGGCACAAGAATCTTATTATGCATTATAAACAGCCCAGCTGCTGACTTAATGGTAGTTGGAGTAGCATAGCCAAGGAGCCTTTGCTCCAATATTAATAGGAAATGTATTGTCCGAATCCAACAGTTCATGAAATTAACAAGGAAAATGAGCTGGAGTGAAGCAACTCTGTAAGTAATAGGAAGCATCAGCAATTACTTCCCTGGAGCACATTAAACACTTAAAAAAGGGCTTGGGGAGAGGACATGTGTACAAATGGGAATGGGTATTGGAAATTTTTAACAATAATTTCAATTTAAAAACAGCTCAAATTCTTTACTTCTTGCAACTGTTTTAAAAATTATCTAATAACTCAAAATATCAATAAGAAATTATGATCTATGATATCTGCTCCAACTGTCTTGAAACCTGATATTTGAATTAACCTAAAATTACCATAAACTCATGATACGGCAAATACTAAAGTTACGCTCTTTTCACTTCCATAGAACTAAATATTTTAAATAACCTAGAGAGCAATTTTGCTTCAACATACCTCAACAGCCTGAATGATATATGCTTGCACAAGGACAAGCTACAAAATGTTGTGAGTTCTACTTACATGCCAATAGACATACGATGAAAGAGAACAGCTCCCTGACAGATGCTGCCAGGAACAGTCTGACCAAAGCTTGCATTGACCAAACAAGAAGCTGGAAGGGTTTCCATAGAAGGAAGAATATGGCTTCTGTTTTTCCCACAGAGAGACGCATCCAAATCTTCCAGAATTGCTGCATGAGGAAATGGAAAATCTACCAGGTTTGTAGAATTTATAAATGACAAGTGTTTGCTCTTCACAGTAAATCCACCTGTACATGGGAATACAGAAAGCCTGTTATACAAGGGCACAAATGACAACTAGCAAGAACAGCACTAAGGTTCACCAGTGTTTTCCAGTGCCTTTAATTGCACATTTTTTGCCATTTCACACTTGGCTTACTCACTCAAGACCATCAGGGACTGTGTATCACGCACACCACAGGCAGCAGAGCAGCACTTAGACCTGCTGTGAGAAGCCTGAGGTCCAGGGCAATCACTCTGTGCTACAGGCAGTTTTGACCCCCAGGGGATATTTGGCATAATCTAGAATCATTTTTGGTTGGCAATACATGGGGGGTAAGGAGGCACTGCTCCTGGTATTAGTGGGCAACAACCAGAGTAGCTTCAAAACATGTCACAATGAACAGGACAGTTCCTAGAACAACAACAAAATCATCTGGTATCTAATGCCTATGATACCAAGGATGGGAAACCGATTCAGGAAGGGACAGAAAGAGACAATATTAAATTACAAAACAATGAAGATACTATATTTTATTCCTTCTGCTGACTGCTGTTCCTCTGTAGTAAGTCTCATTCTACCAAAATACCTCTAATATTACCATTTAAACTTTTACCCTCAAAAACAACCATCAACTAGTCATTTTTGTAAGAGTGAAACACAATTTAGTAACCATTTTCTACAGCTCCAGAACTACAAGTCCTGGCACTCATTCTTTAACACCAATATCATGTGACTCTTTGTTACTACCAGTTAAATTGACTAGACAGAAACTATGTTAATCATCTTATAATTCACATACCTGTACCAATAAAAAAATAATTGAATCCACATTATCCATTAAATAATTCCTAAAGATCAGGGTTTAAGCAATAGTTGAGCTCACTTAAACTTTAACCTTCAGCTTGGTCTTAATTCAAGTATAATTCACATCCTAGGCTCATAGACAGATAAGCTTAATATAAAACTAAAGTACTATTTAACCTGAAAAGGGTATTAGAATCTAGCTAAAAGTGGTCATCTCTTTTTAAATTGGAAATATTCTGTTTTCTCAAGAATGAAGAAACGAGATGTAGCAATGCCACAGTCATTCAATGAATTAATCCAACCATCTAGAATCCACATTTCCATGTTAGAGTATGTGGTACTTGACATTTAAGAACTACAAAACATATCTGTGAAAAATTTGGTATTCTGATTATTTCATTCTATATAAAAATAGATTATATTAGATAAATTAAATGTTGCATAAAAGTTTACAAAATCTGGGTGCAGCACCATAGCCTAGCAGCTAAAGTCCTCATCTTACACATGCCGGGATCCAATATGGGCCCTGGTTATAGTCCCAGGAGCTCCACTTCCCATCCAGCTCCCAGCTTGTGGCTTGGGAAAGTAGACAAGGACAGCCCAAAGCCTTGGGACCCTGCACCTGCTTGGGAGACCTGGAAGAGGCTCTAGGCTTCTGGCTTCAGATCGGCACAGCTGCGGCTGTTGTGGCCACTTGGGGAGTGAATTAGCAGCTTTGGCTCCATTTTGATGATCAAATCAACTAGATTGCTGTCTACCTCTCTCCACTCTGGCCCATGAGTTCTCTGAGGTATTTCTCATTACTTCCAAGAGGTGATTAACAAGTAAGCAAAAATTCATACAATTACTGCACACACATCAAGCCTCATACAATTACTGCACACACATCAAGCCTCTGGATGGTATGTTAACTACCTGAACTTTGGTTCTTGCTGGAAATGTTTCATTATGTTAGTTTATTGTCACATATTGACCCATCCAACACCATTAACTAATTCAATTAACGAATGCTTAACATATACCAGATTTCCAGTTACTAACCATCAAATTCTAAGAGATGTGTGAGCCATGCTTTTATGAAAATAGAACCCAGAACAGGCAGAGCTCCACCAGGAAAGAGTGTGATGAACACAGAGGAGGATCATGAGGAGCTGCAGAGACAGAGTGGGAGGACCTCTTCTGCTTTCTTTAGATCTGAGCAACACTTTCTACTGATCCAATCTTGTAATGGAAATAAATCTTGACTCACAAAAGTTTTACAACCATTTATCATCTGCTTGATTAGTGGCCTTCTTTTCCATTTGTCCTGTCCACTCAAACAACTTACCCTGTCCTTGAGAGCATCCCGAACAGGTTCTGATGGCCACACAGCTGACAAGATCAAAATTAGCAAAGGTTGTGTTAGAAATTGTTAGTTCCCACCTTTTTGGAGTTTTAATCCCAGCTGACATACACTTGCTTCCCTATGATTTAAAAGAAGAGAACGAACAAGTAAAATAAGAGAATTTCCACATGAAATATAATCCATAATGCATACATGTAGTCTCATAGATTAACTGTATAATGGAGACTAGCATACTGGTAAGTGAAGATATATTGCAGTATGCATGTCAACTCCTGAACAAAAGGGGTACTCTCAATGAAACAATTACATATACCTTGGCAGTATGATACTAAATTCTCTACCTTTGCCCATCCCTACAATGCAGTGATGAACTTAAAATAGCCCGAATGTTAAAGCTGTAACTGTTCCTAAAGGACTGTTCTGCCATAATTATATAGTGAGATATGGAGGGAGGGAAAAATTGAGAAGGAGAAATGGGAAAATGGGGAGAGAAGAATCCACATACCTATGAAACAATATCATGAAAAATAATGATGATAGCAATAATGTATTTTTAAAAATTTTCACAATGAATAGACTTTGTTCAAAGGCTCTAACACATGAAAATTCCTTTTTAAACCTTTATATAAAAACCAGATGAGCCTGAATTAATCATATCTAGCATTATATAAACACATTTGAAATCCCTTGTGGTAGTCTATATTAACCAATCAATGCTCTGTATCAGGATATTTCTGAGTGTGAAAAGAGCCACTCTAGTCAGAATTCTGGGACAATGGGTTTAAACAAATCTGAATAACCAGACTTACTGCAGTGTTACGACTTGTCAATTAAAACTCACTAAAAACTTTTGTACCCCTACAGATGAAAAGGTAATTTTTGGAATGAGAGTACCAGCACATATGTAAGTAGGCTTAAAGGAAAAGGAAATCTCTTCTAATGAAAAGAGATTCATCCAGAAACTGATGATTGCTTTAGTATGACTCTCACTGATCACTGAATACATGTGGATGGAAGTCTATGAGAGAATAGGGAAAATTCTCTAAAAATTTTGATTTCTAAAAAAGCACAGTAGGAGTAAAAGAAAGTAAAATCATAGTTGCACAGAGAGGTTAAGAATTCTTTTCTATAATGACATAGCAATACATTTGTTTCCACATAAATCTGAAAATACTATAAACAACATTCTTAGTTGTTTAATTCTATTATTTCTCAAGTCCTTTTAATATTTGATTTTTTGATGAGTTTTGCTGTGTATATTTGAGTTTTAAGACATGTTATAAGACAAATATAGATGGTAAAACAGCTATTACAGAAAAGGAAATTGAAAGATTTGTCATCTCACATTACTACCCTTTTGTGTGTGTGTCAATAGCAACTAAAATCCACTTATTTAACAGAGCTCTAATACATAATTTTATCAATTTTATACATATATATGTTATGATGTACATTAGCTTCCAGGATTATTGCAGATTTTGAATAACAGAGGATATAGTAAACAGTATAGCATAAATGTAATTACCAAATGGATTTCCTTTTCCCAGTTACTCTTTTGGGGCTAGATTTCCATGATAAATGAGTCAGCAAATACTTCCATAGCTACCAACAAATGTTCACTGGCAAAGCCATTCTCCAGTTGTACTTAAGTATTTGGCCAGGTGTGGTAATGCCTCCACTGTACTAAGCAACAACCTTGAGTTAACAGTAGACTTCCATTTCTATAATGTGTGAATTCAAGTCTTCTAACCACATCACCTCTGTGACAAAAGTCAACTCTGCAAATACCTGGTCTTATCTTTTGGATGACAAGATCACACTGAGACATCTGGAACAAAGCAACTGAATATTTTCCATCGGGGGCTCCTGTCTTATACTTACTTATTAAGAGGAAAAAAGGCCCTTAGTTGTACTGCAGTCTTAGTAGCTCACACCCCAGGGATGTGATTATTTTTGATTATCACATGATAAGCACCCTTTTGTCATAATTTATAATTTATGTCACTCACCAATTAATGATGATGCCTCTTTAACATCAATTAAGATACTAAAACATTAATTTATCAAGACAGTTGCACGGTTTGGCATCTTGGTTTCAGAATCTACACTAAGGTTTTTTGGGGAAAACGAAAAGGCCTTGGGTCTATCAGCATCACGGAAATCCTATCTAGGTGCCATCCTCTCTTGGAAAATTGGAACATACAGTGACTAAAGAGAGGGATCACCTATGAAAATGGCAATTCTTCTGGTGGATAGTAAGAACTACAGTGCATACATCTCAAAGTAGTGGCTCAAACAAGATTGAGAGGCAAGTGTGAGCGCAGGGATTGAAGTATCAGATTTACATGTCCCATACAAATTGCCTGGGTTCAATTCCAAGTTTTGCATCCTCACTCCAGCTTATGGCTCACGTCTGCCCTGGGAGGCAGTAGGTGATGCCTCAAGTAGTTGGAGCCCTGAGGAGACCTGGGTTGACTTTCCAACTCCTGGCTCTTGTCCCCAGCCCTGCCTGGCCAATAAGGGCATTTAGGAGTACTCTAGCTCTGTCTAGTGTTTAAAAAGAAGTTAAAAAAAAAAAGCCAGGGCTGTTGCAGTAGCCTAATAGCTAAAGTCTTTTCCTTTCATATACTGGGATCCCATATGGGTGCTGGTTCTAATCTCAGTGGTCCTGCTTCCCATCAGGATCCCCGCTTGTGGCTGGGGAAAGCAGTCAATAACAGCCCAAAATCATGGGATCCCGCAACTGTGTGAGAGACCTGGAAGAGGTTCCTATCTCCTGGCTTCAGACTGGCTCAGCACTGGCTGTTGCACCACTTAGGGAGTGAATCTACGAAGGTAGATCTTCCTCTTTGTCTTTCCTCCTCTCTGTATATCTGAATTTCAATAAAAATAAATAAATCTTTTTTGGGGAAAGCCCAGAATTAAATATAGGAGAATCTAGAAGATTAAGAAGTATTTGAAAATGTATAGCTAGAATGTCCTATGAAAGCATAAGCTACAATAGGTAAAGTACAACTGGACAATGCATTCCTTGTCTCCCAGGAATTGTGTAGGTCCCTTCCATCCATGACTTTTACAATGTGATTCCTAATATTCATACAAAAGCAACACTACTAGGAGGCTATTACAAATCTGAAACATAAGAGACTGATGGAAGCATTTTCTTCACTGAAGGACAACCAGGACATCCCAGCTAAGGAGTTGGTACTATGACCATGCAAGGGGGACATCACCTGTAGTCTGATTTTTATTGGGGAGAATCCATCTTCAGATCACTGTTAGGGAATCACATACAAAATCACACTATATCATACTGTAATTCGTAAACTGAATTACTTGATTTTACCTTTTTCTTTTGAAGTTTACTCAAAATGGAGGAAAGACCATCTGAAAAAACTGCTTAGGTAAAAATTTTGTATACTACAGAGCAGACAAGTAAGATGGAATCATGCTATTCCAAATCACATGAAGTTACAGAAAATAAAGATAAATTAATACATCTTTGAATTTGTATGAATAATAACTGTAAATTGAGACCAAAGAAAAATTCTAAAAATGATCTACAACATTTAGGATTTATATACTTTCTAACATTGAAACTCTTGATTCTGTTAATAATACCATCACTGTAACAAGTTAAAACAGTCTACTTTTTCCAGTTACATACAAAATGTACTAAAGGATGCTATTAAAATTGCATACCATAGGTCACCCTGGAGCTTACCACATAAAATTCTGCTTTGATTGACAGCCTAAAACAATCACAGGAAGGCACTTACCTGGTGAGTAAAATGACCCACTAATAAGCTGTCAGTAACTGAAGTATTTGCATCATTTTCTAAGATGTCAATTCCAAAGTCCCTGCATGAATACACTTGGAAGCTTTTCAGATGAAGATTGCTGCTCCTAAAAATCTACCAAATAAAAGCATATATCATCTTAAGCTTGGTATTTCTTGCAGTATTCCTGGCTTCTTTAATTATTGATTAACCATAAATATATATGCAATACAATATTTAAGCAGCTTCTGTCCATCAGTATCACTACAGGAATCTGAAAGTTGCCATAAGGTCAGTACCAACCTGTGCTAACCAGAGGGATATCTAGGAACACTATCTCTGTATTTTCCCTCCTAATAACCAACACATTAAAAACACCAGTGTGAATTCTCCATCAATCTAAAATAAACTTTCAGTGACCAATCATGCGAATTTAATGGAGAAAAATACAACATCCAAGAACTCCCATACGTATTTCCCTCCATGCAATATTTACAAATTTGTATTGACAGAGATTTCCAAAGAATAAGAAATTTAGCATGACTGCAAATAATCACTGCATATGGATTCCAAATATATGGATTCTGAATATGAATTTATTTATTTATTTGCTTATTTATTTATGACAACTTGGGTCACTGTCCAAATAGGGACAAAATCAACCTGGTAATGTTGAAAATCCCACTAGTCCTAAAAGAGCTCTTGCTTTTCATCTAGCTATGGTAGTCTGAAGCAAAACACTGAATTTCTGCTAGGCTTCTCTGTTAAACTCTGTTTAAAGTTAATATGATATTCAAGGCCAGCAGATAGTAAAACATAGTTACCCTTTTATACATTTAATTGAGTCATGTTTACCATCACACCTTTAACTAGAAATTTTAAGTAAAAATAAGTATCCTCAATTTCTCATAATATCATGACTCACTATGCTATTTGGTCTTTATATTAGCTTTTGTATTTGCAATACAAATATTGAATTAGTAATAGCTTGTGAAATGATATTTCAGTAGTACTTATTTAAAAAAACTAAAGGAAAAACTTGACAACTCAGGAGTGCTACAACACATTTTTGAAATGAACCTAAAAGGGATATTAAATTTGATGCCAAATTTTGTTAAATTCATGCATTTAATCTTTGAAAAGTTCCCTACAAATGTTATGAAAAACCTATGCATGGATTTCAAAAACTGAAGGTATCAAAACAAAGCTCATTCAATTACGCTTTCATCAATTATTTGAAGCTCCATTATAATTGTTACCTAATTATAGACATTCATATATGCTCTGATTTGAAAATTCACTTATCTTGAAAGCTAATATTGGAAAGAGAACAAATTTTATTTATTTTTTATTTTTTGTGAGAAATGTCTGTTTTATTATGCACAAATTATAGCTTTTAAAGAGTAAGAAAGGGGATGCCAAGAGGGTGTTCTTCCAGCAGACCCCCCCACACACACTAAAGACACTGTAATTGACTAGATGACAGGTCTATTTCCCTTGATCTTCTGGTCATGTAAGAGGTCATGTTCCACATGTATCCCCCTTGACCTTCTAAGGAAATTAACATACAGTAGCGAAAAGCATCTAATTGTGGTACTAATACAATTGTCATAATGTGTTCCCATTCTCCTCTCACCCAGAGGAATCACACAACTTTTATTTAAATATGGACAAAAATGGATATCTTTCTCAATTCTTCCACAAACAGGAAAATGAGTTAGCCTGAATTGTAACGCAGCAATTCTCAGACCTTTGAACTTGGCAAGTAATTCAACTCCATAGTTTAATCTACAAATGGATTACACTAACTGCATAATTATTACAAAGGTTCTAATAATAGTAAGTGAGAAAATGTCTAAAAATATTAGTCACTCATCAAGTAAGTAAGGTTTAAGTGTCTCTTAGTTAACTGACAAGGACCAGAACTACTTCAGATTTGAAACTTTTATGTATTTCACAACATTCATAAATACATAGTGAAATGTTTGAGGGTAGATTTTTTTTTTCAGGTGAGAATGGCATTTGGCATTTCTTTATTCTGATGATAAACAGTGCTTTGTCTTGAAATGAACAAGAATATGGGGTATCAAATGTGTATTTGAAGTCCAGATTTGCCCCTGATTGCATTTCTCATAAACTGGGTGACCTTTGTTAAATTGCTTTACTTTAAGAGCTCTTATTTTGGACTAGTGCCATTATGCAGTTGACTAAGCTTCCATCTGAGGTGTTGGCATTCCATATGGACACTGGTTTGAGTCCTGAATACTCCATGTCCAATTCAGCTCCCTGCTTATGTAGCCTGGGAGAGCAGCGAAGAATGACCTAAGGTTCTCAGCTTCAGATTGGCTCAGCTCCAGCCATTGTGATCATTTGGGGAGTTAACCGGCAGATCAAAAAATCAACGAAACTATTTATCCCTTACTCTTGCTCACTCACTCTCTCTCTTTCTTGCTCTCGTCTCTGTAACTCTGACTTTGAAATAAAACTAAAGTCTGAAAGAAAAAATCAAAGTCCCCTTATTTCTTATCTTACAAGGTATAGCAAAGAAGGGATATTTGTACAACCCCTGTTTATTATAAATATGTATGATCCTGTTCTGCTTTTAGAGTGGCCAACACATTACCACAGAGGAAGTACTGGTTAAGTACCACCTGGAGTACTGGCTAAGGTTCTGTTCATTCACTATTCCACATATATACACTTCATATTTCACTGTCTGTATGATGATGCTATCATCTACATTGTCTCTGTTGAAATAGACATGCATAACAAATGCATAAATAAAAAAGAAAATGACAGTTCTTATTTTAAAAGAAAAGCTAAAAAACAAAACAAAACAAAAACCTCACCTGGACACCACCTACACTTTCCCAAACTGTGAAGTACTGGAGTAATGTGGGACCAGGTCCATCATTCCAAGGTGGCTGAAATTTAGGGTATACGAAGAGACCACACCTAGAAAGAGAAACAAAGAATGAAATATGCTAATTTCTGTGTTTCTAACATCTCACTTTTTCCATTAGACAATACATAATATTTTAACTGTTTTTTTTACTTTATAATTGGTACATAATAATTATATGTATTAATTTGGTACTCAGTGTTGGTTTGATATATTACATCTATTGTGAAATGTTTAAATCATGGCAAGCATATATAGTAATTTACACATTTATTTCTTTGTGGTAAGTATATTCCAAATCCTTTCTTCTGGTTTTTAAAAAATACCCAATACATCATTATCTGTACACATCCCACTCTGCAATACAACACCAGAAATTATTTTTCCTATGTCATTTTCCGTTAGTATCAACTAATCAAATTTTTCCAGTCCATTCTTTCTCCATTTCTCCCAAGCATCTGTTAACTAGTATTACTAATTTCTAAGAGATCAACAGCTTTATACTTCAACTACTAGCGAGACCATATACTATGTGTCTTTCTGTATTGGGCTTATATCACTTGACATAATGTCCTCCAGTTCCATATGGTTGTCAGAAATGACCAAAATTAATTTTTAGTTATGGAATAACATCCTATAGTATGTGTATATCTGTATGTATGTATATCTGTATGTATGTGGGGTGTGTAGGAGAGACAGGCAAAGATAAAGTGTGTGTGTGTAACTGAGAGATAATTTCTTTGTCCTCCTATCGATGAACAGACAATGTCTGCATTCCTTGGTTACCATGAATACTGGTACATTAAATATGGGAGTGATTTCATTTCCTTTGGAGACAAACCCAGCAGTGTCACTTCTAGCTTCACAGCCTTCCTAGGAGCCTGCCAACCTTTTCCTGGCCCTCCAGAATATGCCCCCTTACTATTCTATGTTCAGCCTTTCTTCGGAGAATGATACTAACATATGCTATTTCTTCAGGTTTCCTTCTTCTGCCTGAATTTTCCTCCTTTCAGTATTCTAGGTACTTTCCTTTCTTATCCAAGAGCTGCTGGATAAAACCTTCAATGTCATAACAATAGCACCTTTAAACAAGTACTAACTCAAACCTCACATGGGGAGGTCCAGCAGCCACAACTGCACTTCACCGCTGCTTAGCGATTTTTCCCAATCCTTATTTCATTCTGTGTACGATTTTCCATTATATCAGCATTACTACTACTACTATTATTATTTATAGTTGTCAACTATTGAGTACCTACTGTATTTCTGGTGCTCTTTTAGGTGATTATACATATTTGATTTTCACACCAAATTTTCAATACAAATTTATCTCCATTTTGCAAATAAGGAAATTTTGAAGCTTTAAAAAATAGGGAATTGTGAAGAATAGAATCAGGATTTGCATCAGGGCCTGAGTAAATCTGAGGCTGGCATTTTCCTCAGGCTTTTTAAATCCCCTAGCGTTTTCCTGTGAAATTGTTCCTAAAAGATGACTGTGCCCTTGACAAAGCAAAGATTTTCACGGAGTCTCTTCTTATCATATAGTAAAAGCAAGCCACAGGCAGGAAGCTTTTCTCTAAAGCCATTTCTCTACTATTAAGCCAAGCACCCCCACCTCAGAGGCTCTGCCAGCTGCTCTTGAAGTTTAACTTTCCTCCCTCTTGAGTTCTCTGGCCACAAAAGGGACACTCCATCCTGCTACTTTTTCAACTGATGCCTTTCATTACTAAGGTTTCACAATAAAAAACGCAGTAACCAAGGTCTAGAGTAACCATGGACAAATAAGTAGATGACAAAATATGGCATATATAGCCGTGTAATATATCCAGCCTTAAAGAAAAATGGAAATTCTGGTATTTCTAGTAATACGGGCAAATTTGGAGTATATTTTAATAGGTGAAGCAAGCCAAATACAAAACCAACATTACATTATGTCATTTACATGAACTCATAGAAGCAAAAATTAGAATGGGAAGGATTGGGAATGAAAAAAATATTAGTCAAAAAATACAAGTTGTAATAATGAAACATGATTACTAGAGATCTATTCTACAGCATGTTTATTCTTAATAATAGTGTACCATATACTTAAAAATACTTTGACAGATTAGAGCTCATGTCAAGAGTTATGAATATAATAAAATTAAATAGGTCTTGGGGAGAAGTTTTAGAGACAATAAATGTATTTATAGCTTGGATTTTAGTGATGGTTTTATGGGTGTGTATTTATCTCCATATTTACTAGGCTGCATTCTATATATCTTTTTGTGTATCAATCATTTTCTAGTAAAGTGATTTTTAAAAGCACACAAGAGCATCAGTGGATCTTCAGCAAATGCCCAAGCCTATACTCACCTTGTGAGTAACATATAAAACTTACATCCAGAATGAGATGTACTTCCCCTAAGTTACCTTGTACAAGAATGTGCAATGTTCTGAGAGAAGGACAGTAGTGGAGCTTGTGATGTCTGCGTGGTGACAAGGTGGAAAAAGTAGCCATAACCTGCAGAGCAAACTCTGTTTCCCTGTAGAAATTAAGGATTGTTCATAAAGAGTTAAGCCATGTATGATAAAGCTATGAAAAAGAAATGTTCTTATGATTATCCTACTCTCTATTTACTTTATGGTGAGGTAAACTGAAAATTTTTCAGACTGGTTTATTTCTTTATCCCCTCTCAGGATAAAAACTAAACCACCAACACACAACACTCCTTGTTTCTTTATTATCATTATTATTTTATGATACAGTTTCATAGGTTCTGGGATTTCCTGCCCCATCCTCACATGCCCTCCCTTCTCCACTGATTTCCCCCTCTAGTATTAAAATGGGCAGCCCTTCATGAACAGTCATAAGTCCGTTTTTCCGCTATTTGTAACCCAATATTGTTGGCATGGACAATATCAGAGAGTCAAGCATTCTACTGTCAGGCAATATTCAACAGTTTCACTGGGAGTCCATCTTTGGTCTGGGTGCAGAAAGGTATACTGCACTATTTCCCCATATCTGGATATGTCAGTCTGTTACACTTCTATTATACATCCTCTTAACACTCCCTGTTTCATGCAAGTTGGGAAACCACTGAAGACTAGGGCATTCCAATCTCAGGGGCAGCATGAGTCAGGTCAGAGTCTATGCCAAGAATTGAAGCTTGGCCAGCAGCCAGAGGCCAAGGGATACTGGTACAATTGCCTATGCTTCTTGTTTAACTTATTATTCATCACACAAATCCAAAGTTTTTCACCCTGGGTATTTCTAAATACACAGTCACTCATCATTTCATATTCAGTTACAGAATCTTTTCTTCTTCTATGGAATAATTTCCCTATTCCTTATGTCATTATTTTAAATTCTAATTCTCCAATCCTCTGAGGCCATTGAAAATTCTAATCATATAATTCACCTACCACATGGTCTCTAACAAAAGTGGCTTTTTTTGATATTATTGACTATTCAGTTGATGTACTATTCAAGTTGTTAACATGACTTCAGGGAATCAGGCCCTCTCTAGAACATCAATCATCCCGGGGAACCATGGCTTAGCGGAGCAGTTGCCAACTAAGGATGATTTTACTCCCCAGAGGATATCTGGAAATTTGGGGAAATATTTTTATTGTTACAATTCAGAAGGTGGAGGGGAGTGCTGCTGATACTCAGTAAGTGAAGACTAGGGCTACTGCTATACAGAGGACAGCCCACCAGAGCAGAGATTTTTTTTTTTTATAAAACAAAATGTCAATACTGTTACAGCTAAGAAACCCTAGTATATAGTGCACTAAAGCTACATGTTTCATCAAAATGACTATACTCATTTGCCAGCATTTCATCAACAAATTTGGTAGAATTCCATATTTCCAACCTACATACTAAAACATGATCAACTGCAGTATGAATAATTCAATGGAGTTTACCAGAAGGCTGTATAGCTATTTAAAATAATCAAACCTGATAGTAAACATCCATCAAAATATTTATTAGCATTAAATAGGTTATCCTAATTATTCCCTTTTATGGAAAAACAGGGTTTGTGCTCAGTCCTCAGCATCAAGAAGGGTCTCTGTGTCTGAATTGACAGATACATGTGTCCATTATATCTTTCCAGCCCTCACAGATAAACAAAGGAATTCAACAAATGGCTGCAGATCTAACAAATCTTTGCAAGCACAGTAAACGTGAAGTAATATCCTCCAAACAGCTCTGTGGAGTGCCTATGTTTCTACCACACGTATGGCTCACAGGAAATGTCATAGCTGTGCAAGAACTGAGAGTCAGAGATGGGAGCATCTCTTTTAAATTTTTATTTGTATGATTACAAAACCAGATCATGGAAAATAATAAAACAATAAAAATCTTTAAAAAGGAACATGAGAACATCTTAAACACCCACATTTTCTACAAGTTTAAAAACAATGAGATAAGTACACTAGAGGCTAAAAGTGATCTGTTACCTGAACAAATAAATATATTCCATTACCATTGCTTTACAAAGTGAAATGTTCCAGCATTTAAAACCATATTCCTAGCGCTGACTACATCCTTATTCATTCATTTCATCAGCACAAGTGCTTACATACAAATATTTTCATAGACTGAATGGATTTGTTGATTCATCTGCCCTAGCATTATTAGCATGTAGAGAGTATCATGGTGATCACATACAGATATAAGCACCATCCAAGTGCATTTTTTGCTGAGCAGAAGATTGCAACTTTGGTTCTCTGTTAGCCAATAAGGCTCACTTTTATTATAAAAGAAGCACTTGAGCACTTGGTTCACTTCGCTCACAGCCCTTTTCACTCTGCATCCCAATTGGGTATGCGAAAAATGGCTCATGAGGAAAAAAAAAAACCACATATTTATGCAGGCAGCCAGCGGCATGTGTGGAAGGGTTTAAGGCAAGCAGGGAATTTTGTGTGGAAATCAATTCTATGCAGAAGTCAGTGTATTATGGACATTCAAGTAAGAGAAATTCCAGAGAAAAATTAACCGCCCACGTAAGCCAGCTCCTTGAGGTGTGCATCTATAGTCGCTGGAAAAAAGTGAGTTAACCCTTCAGGCAGATCTTAAATATGCATTACCTATTGAGTGGGGAGAGCTGGAGAACTAAGGTTGGGCCCTTAAACACAGAGTTCCTTACAAAATTGATTCACAAACCAGAACAAATTCCCCTCAAATTAAATGCATGTGCCAAAGGGCTCTTCTTCAGGGTTTTTCCACTGCTTATCCTAAATGGGAGTCTGACCATAGGAAATTTCTAGCACCTACAAAAACATGGGATACTCCTAAGCTCTGGAAGTAAGTGGTCTCCAGCTGCTTGAGAGCCTATGGAAATGAGAACACGTTCACATAGGGTATGTCTTCTGGAAATACAGAGCCTCTGGGAAGAAGTTAAAGACTCAGCAGCTAGAGTTGTTAAGGAAATGTACAGAGGATGCATAGAGGAACTAGCAAAACTTCTGTTTTTGTGAAACTCGGCAGAGTTGTAAGGAGCCACTGGAGACTCCAGCAGTACAACATGCTCTACTCATCCCTGGCTAGAAGGCCCAAAGTGTAGGGTTTGTTTCTCAGAGGAAATGTCCTTAACTTAGTTCAGTAGCAATTCAGGCAGCTAGACTACCTGTGACTGAGAAAACTAAGAAGCAATACTGAATTCAAGATTCTGCTGTACTGTGCTGGGTTGCAGGTAAATGAACCACAAAGGGGACTGACAGAAAACAAAAGTGAATTTCTTACACTGTTGCTGGGAGTTGGGTCCTAAGCTCTGAGCCAGGACAATTCAGGAAAAACAAAACCACAACCCCTGCACAGGGGTTAGGTATCTCTTCCTCTGATCCCTTGAAAAGTCAGGGACCACAAGGTCAGATGCATTGGTGAGGGAAGAGAGAGTTTTTAGCCTTTAGGATTGGCTGCCCAAGCACAAGGATCAGGCTACCTTCATCTAAATGAAGATCTAAATGAAGGCTGGCTAGTCCACCAGGATCTTAATGGTGCCACTGATTAAACATCTTGCTTTTCAGTCATCAACTGATTTTGAAATCATAAAATCATATTTTTCTTTTTCTCCCTCAACTCATTCATTTTTGATTTTGTGTTTACACTGTATTCATTTATTAAGCCAGTATTTTTCTATTGAGAAACAACCATTTTAAATTTTGTTCTTTTATTCTGCACTCTAAAAGCTAATAAGCTAATGAAAACAGGAGTAGAGAACTTGAAATCCAACAAAGAAAAATAAGTTAGGAATATACTGAATATCCTCTGGATATTTCATAGTAATAAGGTTTTGCTAATTTTAAAAGTATTTTAAAAGACGATTCCTTAAGCTCCCAAGAGAGCTGGCATAGCTATGTAACATCTCTGACCAAGAAGTTAAATGAAACTCTACTTCAGTGTTCAGATTTCTATGATCCATACAGTTCTGCCTCTTTTCCTCTCTGGTATATTAGCTACCCCCATTAGGCACCTAAAATGGTGTGTAGATGCTGTGCTTGGAACAAACATAATTATGAGTCTTTAAAGGGTTGAAAGAATAACCACAACTTTTATTAGAGGTTACTCAGTTGATCGTAATTAAAACGATGATCAGTGAAAAAGAGGCTCACACTCTGAGTTCCTCAAAAGCACAGCATCATTGTCACGTTACAACAGGAGTTGCAGGCGCCAAACCTCTTTCATAGCTGATTCATGGAATAAAATAATTGGAAAAGGGGAAACTATATGCTCATTTATTATACTGGTGGCAATTCCTTATTCACAAATCTGTGGCTAACTGGACATAAAAAAAACTGACTGCTTAAGTGTTTACACGGAAATTTACCAAGATAGGGTGAAAGGTGAGGTTAAAAAAAAAAATGAAGGCCACGAAAGTCTCCTTCCTGCAATCTAGAATGATCTCATATATCCACTCCTAGTATGAGCAGCAACATGACAGCATAAACATCATGAGAAAGCACTAGATTGTTCAGCTCATGCTATCAGAATCAAAGCATACATATCAGCATTCACATGAGTAGCTCAAGAGATATTTAAATTCACATTCATGTAGATGACCAGAAATGAGCAATGGCTACTTTGTTTTCTTCTACACAGATATTTCTACAAAAAATATTTTTAAAAATCCCAAGAGAAACAATTACATTCATCCCTAACCACTTGTTTCATGCAGAATCATAAATTATTTTCTTATGGGTTCCAGTGGGTAGCAAGTAAATATTACACACCACACCCCTGAGCTTTTGGGAGTGCATGCTAAGCTCCCTTAGGTCTGATCTTTCCAGTGGAGTGCAGGTCTTACCTCTATAACATTGGTGGGATTGCGGATGTAAATGCCAGATGGTGTCAACATTTCAGAACTGGAGAGTCCCTCAGCACCAGAAACATTGATGATGACATTATTCCTGATTATATTTCCCTGTTCTGACCAGTTTGATTAAAAAGTTAGAAATTAAACCTAGAGTATTTACAAACATCACTAAAGTTTACACACTTACATTCCTGATTCTACTAATTCACATAACAGTTCATATGATACATAGATATATGTTTCATGCATGTAAAAATACATAATTAGGATGTACTTAGGAAACATTTAGTATATTAAAATGTCATGCTGATCAATATATCTAATATTTTATAATTAAGCCCTTCTATAAAATACATAACTTTAAATAGAATTTCAGATATTTAAAGTTAATTTACATACTTACCATAATTTCTTCTGGTTATCACCTCCCAAGCAATGGGTCTTGCCTCCATGTATGCTCCTGAAAACAAAAGAATATGTCATCTCATCCCACTTGAAGTTACTCAGAACACAATAGACACTAGCACACTATTTTCTTCTTTGGCAGTGGACAGTCTTCTTTTTGTTTTCTGTTTTTCTAATCTATAAACCAGGCTGTATCATAAGGATCTTGTGACATTTTAGCTCTGGAGTATCATGAATGTGAAGCTTATTTTAAACGAAAAGAGGAACAGAGAAATTTGTTTTCCAGAAGAAGCTAAGTGAATCTTTCCACAGTTAAATGTTGCATATCCAGTGTGTCCCAACCCAAGCTATCTGAATTGGTACCTAACTCCCTGGGTCCCCTGGAAACAGCCAAAATGATGAGAGGAACAGGGTGGAAAACCCAGACAAGCCATGGAGGCTGGAATAAAAGGGTAAGAATGGTCATGCTACATAGACTTGTTACTTAAGTAGTATCACCAATGATGATCTCACAAAACTCTGGGCTTCCCAAGCATTATTTCACATATCTCGGTTTGGAAATTTGTTAAATAGGAAATTGAGTGCTTTACCTATAATGTACTAACAAATATTTTAATCTTTCCACTTACACTATGTTAAATGTCATGCTGATCATTTGCAATATTCAAGAACTAATGGCTACATTTTTCCTACAGGTTTTCTTCCTTTCCTAATTAATACCAATGCTGTATAATTGTTTTGTGCTAAAATGTTAAATATTAGGATACCTTTCTGCATTTTTGATGACCATTTCATCTTTTCTTTCACAAAGGCAAAAATAACAACACAGTCAGTCCTATAACTGTTAGCTTCACTTCCCTATGGTTGTCCTTTACTAATGAAATGATTTTTCTGCATCAGATCACTTCAATTGTCCTTGGCATTTAAAAGGGGGCACTTTGCACACAACCAGGGGTATAAGATCCTTGTTTCTTCATTAAATATTTATACTCTCAGGATACTCAGTAACAAAACATATTAACTGATAGTGAGAAATGTAACATTCAATTATAAACCAAGAACTGCTGATTGGTGCTTAACAGTCTTAGAAAGAGGGACATGTGATGGGGATCTGGGAAAAAGGATCTTGTAGGAGGAAAGGGAATGACATAAACAGAGGGCAATGGACCTGTTACAAAGGCACTGGGGCACAGAGGAGTATGCACTCTAAGTTTGGTTTTCCTCAGAAAGCCAGATTTACAAAGAGAAGAACAGATAGAGAGAAAGCTCTTCCATCTGTTAGTTCCCTTCCCAGTGGCTGCAATGGCCAGAGCTGAGCTCATCTAAAGCCAGGAGCCAGGAACTTCTTCAATGTCTCCCATTGTAGATGCAGGGTCCCAAGGCTTTGGGCCATCCTCAACTGCTTTCTCAGGCCACAAGCAGGGAGCTGGATAGGAAGTAGAGCAGCTGGGACATGAACTGGTGCCCATGTGGAATCCTGGTGCATACAAGGCAAGGGTTTTAGCCACTAGGCCACCACACTGGGTCAGAGGAATGAGCACATTTAAAGCAATTACAATGAAATATTGGTCAGTGCCATCAGTGATGTGGAATTATTTGTAAGACAGGTTGATAGAAGCTAAGAGAAGCAAAATCACAGAAAGGGTCTCTTAAGCCAGGTTAAAAGATTTGCATTGTATTCTAAGCCCTAAGAAACAGTTAAACGATTGTAAGGAAAGGCATCTTATGACACAATCTGAGATTTTAGGAATAATTATGGGTTTTGCAAAGAAAGAAATTTCAGGAAACAAAAGCAGGCACAGATAACCAGTAAGATCCTGGTGAAAAAAAATGTACATTTCTAAGACCCTTGGGGGAAAATGTACTTTTCTAGTAGGACACCATAGGAGTTAAAACAAGAACTCAAGAGTTTCAAGTCCTTGGCCGGCATTCAAGTTTGACAATCTGTGGGACTGTATGAGGATATATTTCTATTTTTCACAATTATTGTGAAAATTGCTGACAGCAAATTTCAAAACTTCCCATTACACATGTATTAACCTGAGCTGAACCTTTAAAAAGTCAGTTTCCTGTGAGTAAAGGTCAGTAAGCCAGTCAGTGATAACTAAATTTAAAATTAGGACTTTTAGCTATGATTTATTTCTAATGGGCAGAAGGCCAATGTTTCTAAAAATTGGAAATCCAACATTTTTAGAGAAATCTTTATCAAACCTGTGTCTAGTGCAGAATACAGAAATCAAACAAATGCATTTCACCTACCCACCAGTAGTGTGTGGCCTACAATGTTGAAGAATACGTTACTGTCCACCTTCAGGCCCAGGACACCATCCATGCTGAGGCCTCTACTAAAGGAGTTCCACACCGTACATCCCTGTACATAGGAATCTGAGTAGGCAAGAGTAAGCTAAAGATTAGATCTCAAGGGCTCCTCGTCTCCTGTTGAACATATCTTTCTCTACCTAAAAACATCCTCCTTCATAATAATGAAATGCAAGAGAAAAGGAGTCTGAGACATAATTCAAATCAACTTTGGTGAAGAAATTGTTATTTGTTGAAATCATTACACTGGTCCCATAGGCACAGTCCATGAACCTCTAATCAGTTTATGGAGCATGCACTATTTAATGGATAACTATTTACTGAATGCCAACCACAGTTAAACATCACATAACGTTTCAGCCAACACATGTGTGACATTAGTCTAATAGGATTATAAAGACTGAAAAATCCCTATTGCTTAGTAGTGTTATAACTGTCATATGACATAGAGCAATATGTTATTTATAACATGTGCAACTGTGTACATGGGGTGGGCACTTGGCACAGCAGTTAGGCCAATGCTTGGGACATTCTCAACTAATGTCCAAGTGCATATGTTTGAATGCTAGCTCTACTCTCCATTTCAGCTTCCTGCTGAAATACATACTGGGAGATAACCAGAGATGGCAGAAGTTCTCATGTCTCTGTGTCCGTGGGGACTCAGAGTTTATGATTTTGCTTCCTCCTAATGCAATGCCAGATTTTGCTGACATCTGTAAAGTGAATTAGTGGATGTTTTACACAGCATGTAATACCTGGTAATAATAATAACTAGTTTACTGGATCACATACTTACTATGCTTCACTTTTCATCATTAATTTACAGAATGCTCCTGCTACTTATATTTTGAAACAACAGAGTTTACTGTAGGATAGTCTACTGTAATACATGGCAGCAACAGCCTTAGCCTCAGACATCTCAAGCTTTCCCAGTTTATTGATTAAATCGAGGCCATGCTGAGTGATTGGTCTTTATTTCTATGCAACTACTTCAAAAACTCCATGCAAACTGGAATTAAACGATAAGTTTATTTTGTTAGAAAATTTTTTGAAATCTATGCTTATGAGAAATCTTCAAAGAGTTCTTGAAAAATGCATACTAAAAGAAAACTACTCATGGATTAAAATAAGTTTTATATCAAAATCAATTTACCTTTTCATTCCATTTCCCCATGATTTTTGATAAACCTAACACAGTGCTTACATAAAGAAAAAATGATATACATTTCTCAGAATCCTGTCCCTTTGCTAAATAATATGATTATTTTGTAAAAATTGCACAATATACCAGAAAGATGAGCAAAAATAAGTAAATTCTCTATTTAACTTCAGTCAGTCTGACAGAAATGCTAAAATGTATAGAGGCAGTAATCAAAACTCAAGGGTGCATAATTCACCCCATATATGCTACCCAGTGATGGTTCTCAAAATGAGCTCAGTGAATTACTTGCTCTGGAATCATATGGTCTGCATGTATAAAATTCAGATTGGCGAGATCACTGGGGAATGTAGTTTGTCAGAAGAATGTCCATAACTGAACTTAAAGAAGCTCCCATGTGATTTCTTGGGCTTACTGACACTTAAGAGCTCAACATTGACCAAGAATATAAACAATTAAGTATCTCTGAATCCCACAAGTTCCAATGTTTCTTTATGCAGTAGCTTCATATGTGAGAAGAAAGAAAAAGTCACAGAGTCACAGGTCAAGATACCCTTACCTTTCATACTTCCCACCAGAGTGAGAGCGCTCAGATGCTTACGGAAACTTTGCCCCAGATCTCGAAACTGCACTCCCTTCAACTGGACCTGACTGGCTTCCTCTTGGAAGGACTGAATGATTACTTTGGCCCCCAGATCCCTAGACCCCAGTATCTTCTCACTCTTGGAATACAAACAGTTCTTCAGATTACCTGCAAGACAGAATGAAGTCTAGGAAACCTAAAGCTTGTAAAACATGGTGCTAAACAATTTTCCCATCCAAAAGGCAACATCAACACAAAGGGACAAATCATTAATAATCTTTTTTTTTTAGTTCACCTTCTGTGGGTTATCAGTTAATAGATCTAGGAAATAGCAAATGATATTGCCACTGTTCTACTATTTCCAGACATTCCAAAATCAATCACTTTATTTACTGTCACAATAAAGTAGACTAAAGTCCACAACTTCAACCAAAATTATGCTTATTTTAATTCAAGAGATTCCCTGGAGGCAATATGAACTAAAATGACCTTCTTGTGATTAATAATTGTAGAGAAAACACTGAACCACTGAATGAAATCATAGGACATTTTAGTGTTAACTTTTGTTAGTTTTTTTTTAATGGCTTGGGGACTTAACAATAATGTTGCCATATAAATGGAAAAGTGCCCCAAAGCTCCTGCACTAATACTTCCTCCCCAACCTGCAATGCTAATACCTGAACTTAAAACATACAATTACTGTTGTTACAATGGGTTGTGAACTCATGATCCAGAATGATTTCTGCTGACACAAGACATTTCCAGGAGTGAACCAAACTCTTAAAATCATACACTGAATTGAGTCCATATTGTCCATGTTAATGAATCAAACAAGGACCAGTAATACTAAATAATATACTATTCTCCAATAAATCTCAGAGTCCAGTCATTTGCTAATACCAAGAAAATAAATACCTTATGTAAAAAATATCCTATGTAAAAAAATAGATAAGTTTTATATTTAGAATATTTAGTCTGAATATTTGTGCCAATGAGCCATTCTGTTTTCAAATTGCAAGGTCTTATCCACTGGATTTAGCCATTTTGTCCCCATGATTGTACCTACCACAAAACAATGACTTATTTTGAAATTATTATAATTTTGCTTAAGGTTTATGATATTAAAATCAGACATGATTTCAGTAGGAGCTAAAAATGTTAGAAGAACTCAAATCTAGAAGCATGGCTTCACTGGCAGCAGGGTTAAATGCAATGTTCCCAAAATGTGATATGAAAACAATAGAATTGAAAATTACCAAGAGAGTTAAATAGAAAACAAATTTCAATTTGACAGAATCGTTCAAGTTGGGAGTCGGTGGATTCTAACTCACTATTATCTTTTTATTTTTTTTCAGAAGGATACATTTGTGAATTGATAGTGTGGGAGGAGGGGCATGAGGCCAAGGCTCCTCCCTACTCCTAATAACTCCCCTACTGCCGTATCAAACCTTTATACTTATAATGTAAACATGACTCAACTCTTTACTTGAGCCTTGCTATTTTCGCTATTACTACTCCACTGCTACTCTGGCTTCCAAATTTCCACTTATACAAAATTAAACCCATGATTGCTACTCTCCCACCCTATAACCTGCTCCTCTCCCCATCTCAGTGAATAGTGTTATCATCCATCCACAGCTCATGCCTGGAAGTCATCCTTGACATCCACACCATCCTGGACCAAAGTTGACAAATGATGTCTTCACCACATATGAAAGCCTCATAACCTACAGTCTGGGAAACCAAAACATAACCTACTAAACTAACCATCCCTGAAATAGATGTTTAATAGGCACATCAGTGTGATTCAATGCCTGCTATTCTACTAGAAGATAAATTGACTTTTTCTGTCACCTAAAATATGTGGTAGTTTCCTTGGAAGACAAACCCAAAGGTATATGGGAGTATGGAGTGGGGGTGGAGGCTTTAGATCTAGTTAATAAGAATATGCTGCCTGAGCCCATGATTCTAGAATTAAGGTTTTCATGAGAATCTTATAAAGGGCCTGGAATTAAATAAATAAAATATAGATTATATAAATACAATTCAACTCTCCTAACTTATTTTTTTGCAACAATTTTCCCAGGGAAATAATCAATTTATTTGTTTTGCTTTTCTCTGTCTCTTTCACAAGGTTGTCAGACTGCATGGGGAGAAGGGTAAGAAAGTGTTAGATGACAAGTTGTTGAGGAGATTCTGAAAACAATACAGAGATTCAAAGATTAAGGACTTGCTATATTTCAAAAGAGGTCAACCAAAGTAATGCCACATGTCACCTGACAATAAGAATATGCTCTTATGTTTATTGGATTTTCGAAGATAATACTTTTGTACCTTCTGAGGCATTGGCCTCCTGGCATGAGGCAAGGAGCTGCTTCCTCTCCAGAGTTAGATTTCCTTGTATGGTAATCCTCCTGCTGAGCAGAGCCACAGTAGCCTTTAGAACAGAGTATTCTCTGGCTGCCCAATTCTCAGTGAAGCTGTAAGAATATCTGGAGAAAAAGGGAAAAGGATAAGAGGAAGGTACAAACAAGGACATCACTGCAAATATTTGGAAGAGTAGGACTCTCAATTGTGCTAATAATCTCCCTCTAGGGTTCAATTTCTTCAGAAACTCTTACACAGAAGAGTGGGTGATGGACACAAGCAAAAGGAAAATTAGAAGCTATGTTGTGTTGCACTGAACACTGGCTTTAAAATACAAATTCTAGAGTCCACAAGAAAATCTATGTAAGATGTTTAATTCATGGGCCCACTGCAATGGCTCAATTGGCTGATCCTCCCCTGGCTCCTGGCTCTTGGCTTCGGATTGTCAATGACTCTCTCTCTCATTCTCTTTATAAAACCTGTCTTTCAAAAAAAAAAAAAAGTAAAACATTCTAAAAGATGCTTAATTCAATAATAAAATGCTTCACGATTTATAATTTTTTAGAGGATCTAGCATTATTTAATATAGGAGGCCATTATTTAAGGACTAATATCTTGAGCTGACACAGCACAGCAATTAAGCCATGGTCTACAACACTGACATCCCACATATCCCACTAGTTCTAGTCCGGCTGCTCCACTTTTAGTACAGCTTCCCACATTTTTTTTAAGATTTATTTATTTTTTTGGGCCCGGTGGCATGGTCTAGTGGCTAAAGCCCTCGCCTTGAACGCGCCTGGATCCCATATGGACGCCAGTTCCAATCCCGGCGGCTCCACTTCCCGTACAGCTCCCTGCCTGTGTCCTGGGAAAGTAGTCGAGGACGGCCCAAAGCTTTGGGACTCTGCACCCATGTGGGAGACCCATAAGAGGTTCCCTGGCTCCTGACTTTGGATCGGCACAGCATTGGCATTGTGGTCACTTTGGGGGTGAATCATCGGACGGAAGATCTTCCTCTCCACCTCTCTGTACATCCGACTTTGTAATAAAAATAAATAAATCTTTAAGAAAAAAGATTTATTTATTTTTATTGGAAAGACAGATCAGATTATGCACAGGAGAGACATAGATAAAGATCTTCCACCTGCTGGTTTCCTCTCAAAGTGACCAGAATTGCCAGAGTTGAGCCAGTCTGAAGGCAGAAGCCAGGAGCTTCTTCCAGGTCTCCCATTGTGGGTGCAGAGTCCCAAGGCTTTGGGCCATCCTCTACTGATTTCCCAGGCCACAAGTATGGGAAGTGGAGCACAAATTGGTACCTATATGGGATCCTAGGATTTGCAAGATCAGGACTTAGCCATTCAGCCATCATGCTGTGACCAATCCAGCTCCTTTTTAATGTACGATGGAGGCAGTGCAAGATGAACCAAGTGTTTATGCCCCTGCCACCCATGAGGAAGACCTAGAATCCTCAGTTCAGCAGGGCCCAATCCTGGCCATTGAGGCCATTTAGGAAGTGAATCAGCACATGGAAGATCTCTTTCTCATTGTCACACCCCATTTCTCAAACTTATCTTTACAAGTAAATAATTTTTTTCCTCAAAAATAAAAAATAAATAAATAAAAAGACAACGTCCCAACCCATACATTCAGTACCTCAAGGGAGACCTAAGAAGAAGGTCTGTGTTGTGCACAGTTTCTACAACAACAATCTCTTCCACTGGTTTGGTGCCTTCAACACTGGTCCCACTGATAACAACTTCATCTCCAGCGTGCCAGTCCACAGTATCTTCCAGAGCCAATACTGTGTCTTGGGCATGAGCAGTTGCCCGAAGACGAGTAACAAGTACTTCTGGTAGTGAGCCTAAACAGTCCAGGAAAAATTTGGTTAAATTTATTTTTATTTACATATTTATTTAAGGAGAGAGGAGGAGTGAGTGAGTTACTACCTGCTGTTTCCCTCCCCAAAAGCCTTCTATAGCCCCAGCTATGGCCCAAAACTCTCAATCTACACGGGTGACAGGAAAGCAACTACTTGAGCCATTCCTACTGATTTGAAGGATCAACACTACTAATGACTTCAAGGATCAGGATTCAAGCTTGAATCAGGAGCTGAATAGGATATTGAATCAAAGTGCCCCAAAAGGAGATGTAGGCATCCTATGCAGTACTTAACTGCCAGATCAAAGGATGGCTTTTTTGTTTAGATACATTTCTAGCAAATAAGACTATAATGTTATCCAGTTGAAGAATCTTATAAAAGAAGAAACCAGAAAAGGAGCGTCAGGATCAATAAGCCTGAATTTGGAAAGATTATTTTTCATTTTAGGGAGTTCCACTTGGATATTATAACAAGGTGGTAATATAAGTAATCTAATATACAAAAAATTAAGTATTGAAAAACACAGAAATTATAGTAAGGTTAAGTTACATTTGAACCACAGTCTTAGAATATTCCTCCACTTTCCTTTGAGTAACATACTCATGGTACACTTCAGTTTCTATAGTTAAAATCAAAAAGAGCAACATCTTTGACCATAGGATTTTAGGCAGATATAATGAGGTCTCTGCAAAACAGCTAACTTGAATACATAATAAACCTTCCATATACATTATTTTGTTTTTTCTTCCTTCACTGCATCACACTTTAAGCACAAAATTATAGCACCTTTTCATCCCGAATAAGAACACAGAGTTATAATCATTGCTATTAAAGTCCAGAATTAGTTTCCAATATGAAGGCTACTACCCATTTCCCAAACTAAGTACAGTGGAAAATCCAGATCACTTTACAATGGTTGCCTTAAGTTATAGTGCATGTGATTCTTTCAAACTGTAAAGCTGGGTGTATCCAGAATAGAACAGTAATGCCAAGATGAAGAAGGGGAGAAATAACAGTAGATATTTTTGTATCATACTCTTTCGTATCTGCTTATCCTCCTACCAGCAAATCAGTCTTTAACTCCCTCAGATTCTAGGAAGTCTCCCATCTATCTTTACTTTGGGTTTTCCAGCAAGGTTCAAGGCAGTTTTTTTTGTTTTTTTTTTTTTTGCAAGTCATTCTCCAAAGAAATCCTTGAGAAAACACATAGCTTATCTTAAATTCCTTCCTCTTTCCTCAGAACACTTCCTTCCTCCTTTGCAATAGATCATAATTTACCTTTAGCCCACAGCAAGTTACTGTCCTCCCTTGTTGTACTAAAATAAAGTAATAATACTTGAATCTCTAACTACAGAGGCAGCCAACAATAAATCATTTTCAAATTATTTTAACGTTCTCCTTTATTTATTTGTCTGTGTGTGTCCAGGCACTTTGTACCAATAATTTTGTTTTAGGCTTAGAAAGGTCGCTGGGTTAATGATGTAATTCCTGAAGAATACTTGGGCAATAATTTTATCTTAAAAAATTTACAAAGTTCAAAATTCCTAATTATAGGGCAGGTGAAAATTAAGACATAAATCATCCAAAAGAAAATGATTTTATTTCTTGTTTGTATATCTTAACCTTTAGGAACAATAAAATGTAATAAAATTTCTTTATATGCATATGCATATATCTGTGAATTACTCTGGCTTGTTCTTGAATGTCACACAGAAATATGTTTACCACAGAAATGTTTATCAAAGACAAAAATACTACCAACTCTGCGACCAATTGTTTATATAGTGAATATGAAACAAACATCTATTTGTGTGCCTAAGAACTCTAAAGCAACACATTGCAGAACTGAAAGTAGAGAAAAAGTATCATTCTTATGAATATGATCAAGTCTAAATGGATGAAAAAACACATGAGAACTTGATGTGCTTTACAAACTATGAACACAAATTTATGCCCTTCAAATGTTCAAAGTTTCTAGTTCATGCCTATTAAAAAAATACCACCCACATGTTTTTGTCTAAAACATTAAGTCTGATACTCCATATGTGCAGTCTTATACTTCCAACTATACAAGGGAAAAAGACAGTTGAATAAGGTACCATTGTCCTAAACTGAAAATGTCAAAATTATTAAAATATTTCTCTTAGATCACTCTGCAGTTTTCATTCTTCCAACTGCTGATTATATTATTTGAAAGTCTGTGATTACATTCCACTTCTGTCCATTATTCTGCAATATCTCCTCTAGTCCTCAGTAACAAATCCCCAAATATCATAACCCAAATCACCTGTATGGTTTGACTTCTTCATCAGCTCTCTGGGAATTGCAGACCCTTTCCCTTGTCTCAAGGAATGGGATCATCGCCAACTCTACCCTCCACCAATTTGTTCCTCTACTTGTGTCAGCTCCCTGTTTCAAGTATCCTTCTAATACATAGCTCATACCCTGACCCCTCCATGGAATTTCAGAAAGAATTTCTACCTCAATCCTGAGAGTGCTCTTCTGTACCTTCTCCTACAGACCTTGCTATGATGCTGGATCCTTACTCGAGCAAAAATCTGTGTACATCAGGTACAGAAGCATGCCCAAATGAATCTGGGGGAGTTGGTGGGTCACTGTGATAGAAGCAATTTAACTAAGGCACAGATGGGGAACCAGGATTACAGACCCAGCATGGATTCTGCCTCCATTACAACTCTTTCCTGACCACATGGACCCAAGTCCAAACCTGAAGGAAGAACTTGAAGGAACTCTCTAGACAGATTTTACACTAATAACACAATACCACAGGTTGGGGAAATAAAAGGGAAAAAAAGAGTTTCATTTCAGCTGGAAACTCTGGTCCCTGGGTTGAAGACTCACAACTGGTGATATTCTTCTTGCTGGCAATATCCTGAGAAGCAAGGGGGTATGCACATAAGTTTATTTCCTCTGGTTAATCAGTAAGTTCAGTCAGTCTGCCTATCTGTCTCTTATTGTCTTTCCTTTTCTCCAAAGTCTCCAGTTTTCAGTCATGGGAACTCCACCCTGATAATTTCAACACCTCACAAAGACTTCATGTCCAGACACAATAGGTTAAATTTCCACCCACTGAACAGCTCATAATGGAACTTAAACTCCATCGTGGGTCTGGGGAGGACAAATCATGGTACCACGTCCTTTCTATCACTTAACACAACTACAGTTTGACGCCTCTTACTATAATTACCTATTCTGTCGTTTACTAAACTTGATAGCAAAATCCATATTTATTTCTGTTCACCATCAAAGCACCAATACCCTTCAAAGTTCCAACATGTAACATGTGCTTCACAAATATGTTGAAGATGATAATCATGAATAAGACATGGAGGAAAAAATGCACCCAAATTCTGAAGTTCAGGCGATCATAAGGGGCTGTCATGGAAAATGTCACCACATGCTATCACACCACATGGTACACTCCCATCTCTATGGGCTTCACAATCTGATAATAATCAAGAGCTGCACCCCGGAACCTAGAATGTGTTCAGTAGAAACACAGCAGAAATGAGTTAGTACTTACTGCCTACATAATAGAAAACAAAGTCAAGGAAGCCACAGCCAGAGGAAAAGAGCCTGGAGAATGCTTACAATTCCTATGGCAGACCAACGTGCTGATGAATTCACATGTAATATGTTGTAGGGGCAGCTATAACAAGCAAATGCCAATGTTGAAAAGGTTTAAAGAATCTGTGACACCAAGGAAATGCAAGCAGTACAAAATGTGTTCCCACTACTGAGGCATCAATGAACAGCTAGGAAACCTAGGTTACACTATCTACACTCAGCATATATATTAGTACCAAATCATTCTTTAAATATTACGATGTATATTACTTATTTCCAAGCTTTAATAATGCCATGATCAAATGACTACTGTCATGTTTCCTTTGTAAGAACAAATGCCACAATTCCTAAAACAGTCTTAGACTCGTGATTAACATTCAACTTACAAGCATTTAAATCACTTTAAATACTGTTTTTTTGGACAATCACTCATAAACTCTCATTAGATATATATCCAAGTAACTGACTGACTGACTGACGGACTATCTATATATTGATCTATCTCCAGTATATAAAAAGCAAAAAAAAAAAAACCCACAAGTATTTGTTGAGAAGTTAAAATAAAGGCAATGGAGGCTACTTAATCTTACAATGAGATAAAAATCATTTGGGACTTGTGTGTGTGTTTTATTTTAATAGATTGCACAAATATGGATTTCAAATGCTTCAAGGATGGGATCATATAGAAATAAAATATCAACACCAAGTTATGAAACTAGATTTTCTGAAACCAACAACAGTGCTAGGCAAGTCATGGGAGTCGTAGTGTCTGCAAATAACTGTAAATTACCTACTTAACCAATTAGCTTTGATCCTCAAAAATTATATTCATTACTTCATAATTGTAATTTAAATGCCACACAAAGCGCACTGACTTCTCTGATGAAGAAAGTATTGTACACATCTCAAATAGGAGTCATTTCTCTCCAGAACTCTTAAAGCCCAGATTAGGTGGCTCCTTCCTTTCTGTAACACAAATCAAAAAGCATATAAAATACAGTTTAAAAAGCTAAATAATTTATAAATATGCTTAAATGACAAGGAGCCAGGCTCTTAACTTGTAATTTAATACAATGTTTAACCACATTGGGCTTTCATTGTTGACCTGTTAACCAACAACTATTCATTTACTCCCACTAATGACTTGTACTCATAATTGTATTTCCTACAAATTATTACTTGGGCTTTTCAGTGCTATTCATCCCTAATTACACAGTCCCAGAGTACCATTCTCACCAAATGGGCATGAAGAGAAGGAAAATAATCTTTGTGGGTTAACACACTTTAAAATCACTAATTGTCCTGTTTCTTTATTTTGTAGCACTTAAATCTTTGTTCCAACTGAATAACAGCCAAGAGCTTTCCAGAGCATTTAAGGGGAGAGGCAAAACAGA